TCCATTTAAGCCTTAGATCTAATATAGTGTTATTATCTACCAAAAAAGTAGTGCCATTTATTGCTCTGATGAGAAAGTGATCGTTCATTCTAACTGAAAGAGGTTACAACTGAAACACTTAAAGTAGAGAGATAGTCCTAAACTACTCCTACACAATAGGCTAGTTAACTATAATTAACTTATTGACTAATTCTAATACAAAACTAATAACAACAAAAGATAATAATAATAACATGGCTTAACACTCCCCCTCAAGCTCAAGGAGGGTGCATCACCACATTGAGCTTGTCACGCAACAAAGTGAACCGCGGCCCGGGTAGCGGCTTGGTAAAGATATCTGCGAGCTGGTCTTTGGTTGAAACAAAGTTGACTTGCATGTCCCCCGAGGCTACCTTGTCCCGAACAAAATGATAATCAATTTCTACATGTTTCGTCCTGGCATGAAAAATCGGATTGGCGCATAGATAAGTTGCCCCGAGATTATCACACCACAGCGTAGACGACTTAGCATCATGTAGTCCCAACTCTCGAAGCAGTGAGACTATCCACGTGACCTCAGCCGAGACATCCGCTAAAGCTTTATACTCAGCTTCAGTAGAGGAGCGGGCGACGGTGCGCTGTTTCCTGGATAGCCACGAGATGAGATTATCCCCGAGAAACACGGCGTACCCGCTTGTACTTTTCCTGTCTACGGGGCAGCCAGCCCAGTCTGAATCTGAAAAGGCATGAATAGCAGATGAGTTGGACACAAAGAGTCGTAGACCAAAGGTTAGTGTACCCTTAATATACCGAAGCACACGTTTCAGGAGCATCCAGTTATCCACGGTCGGAGAGTGCATGAATTGACACAGCCGATTTACTGAAAAGGATAAGTCCGGTCTTGTGATTGTTAAGTACTGAAGCGCTCCCACTATGCGACGATACTGAGTAGGGTTGTCAAACGGTTCCTGTGTAGGTGTAACAGCTTGAGTCACGGCAGCGGGTGTAGTAAGAGGTTTGCAGTCGGACATGCCGGCACGAGTCAATATGTCATTCATGTAACGGCGCTGAGACAACATCATGCCCGAATCTAGGTTCACCGTTTCAATACCAAGAAAAAAAACTGGGTGTACCAAGATCCCGAATCTTGAACGTGTCTGATAGCCGATTGAGTAGAGTCGTGATTAACGGTGCATCATTCCCCATCATGATGATATCATCTACATACACCAGTAGATATACCCGTGATGATCCTGTGGAGAAATGGAAAAGAGACACATCTGTCTTCGACGAGAGAAAACCTGCAGAGAGTAAATAGTCATGCAGCCTTTTGAACCACGCCCGAGGGGCCTGTTTCAGGCCGTATAAAGAGCGTTGAAGATGGCACACATGGTCTGGGTGTACAGGATCTTCATAACCTGGAGGTTGTTTCATATAAACAGTCTCTGCCAAGTGCCCATTGAGGAAGGCATTATGGACATCCAGCTGTCTCAAAGTCCACCCATGGGAAACAGCTAGCGAGAATAACAAGCGGACGGTAGTCGGTTTAACCACCGGACTGAAAGTGTCGAAAAAATCCTCGCCGGCTACCTGATTAAACCCTTTGGCCACCAGTCGGGCCTTATAGCGTTCCACCGAGCCATCCGCATTGCGTTTGGTCCGAAAAACCCATTTACACCCAATTACATTCATACTAGGGTCTGCTGGAACAAGTGCCCAAGTGTTATTATGCAACAGGGCGTTGAATTCTTGGTCCATGGCTTCACGCCACTGTGGGTGCCCAATGGCTTGTGAGTAACACGTTGGATTAGTGGACGTGTGTAAGGCATGGAATTCTTCTTCTGTCCCTCGAGTCATACGACGCAGCCGCATTACATGGTCTCGAGCCCTGACTGGAGCTTTACGAACCTTAGCCCTTCGAGTTGGTATAGGCCTTTCAATGGCCAAGGGAGCCGGAGACTCTCGGGCTAAGGGTACCGGACTGGCGGGTGACGCTGGAACCAATGTGGTTGGCATAGTCTGAGTTAAAACAGGACTAGCCGCCCACGGTAGAGCTGGTGGTGTCTCGGTGATGCTGGCTTGTTTGTCAATGTCTGCAAATGGGAAAACATTTTCATCAAAGCGCACATGGCGACAGATATAGACTTTCCCCGATGTTAAATCAACGCATCTATATCCCCTAAAGGACAACGGGTAACCTAAGAACACGCAGGGTGCCGAACGATACTCTATCTTGTGCCGATTATAAGGCCGTAGATAAGGGTAACAACGACACCCGAATACTCGAAGGAAGGTGTATGGGGGTGACACTTTATGTAGCAGGGTATATGGGCTTTGAAACTGTAGGACACTAGAGGGTAGGTAATTTATTAAACAGGTAGCGGTTTCAAATGCGTAGTCCCAATATTGTAACGGGACTGAACCTTCGGCCAGTAGGCCAAGCTTGTTTCAACTATATGTTGGTTTTTGCGTTCGACCCGCCCATTTTGTTCGTGTGTGTATGCACACGACTGACGGTGATTTATACCCAAATTAACAAAGGTGTTATGTAATTTTCGGTATTCCCCCCCCCCCCCCCCCCCCAAAATCTGATTGAATGGACTTGATAGAACGCGAAAATTGGCGTTCTACCATGACTCGAAACGACTCAAAAGTTTTATATATATCTGATTTCATCCGTAAGGGATAAAACCAGCAGAAGCGTGAAAAATCATCCACGAAGAGTACAAAATATCTGAAGCCACTAGATGATATTACAGGAGATGGACCCCAAATGTCAGTATATAGTAAATCTAATACATTGTTACTACTGAACGGGACCCTATCTAATGGAAATCTAGCAGCTTTTCCCAAATGACACGATTTGCAAGACTCCAACGCGGAAGCTTTATTAGTCGAAACTGGACAGGATTTTAGGACACGACTTTGAACACTCGCATGTGGATGGCCAAGTCTGCGATGCCACACGTCCGAGGTTGTTCGAGAGGTGAGAAACACGAAGTGTGACTACGATACTGGGAGTCTGTATAGGCCACCCAGTGTGGGCCCCTTAAGCAGCACTGTCCGAGTTGTGGAATCCTTCACAAAAAAGCAGTTCTTGTGAAATTCAAAAAAGCAATTATTTTCGTTAGTAAATTGCTGTACTGAGAGTAAAGGAACTGACAATTCAGGGACAAGCAAAACATTAGACAATTTTAATGGTTTAGATTTTGATGGTATAGATGCGTGACCAACACGAGTAATTGTCAAACCTGTCCTGTTACCCACGCGCAGGACATCATCGCCCGAATACTCTTCGGACTGATTTAGCAAGCTGGAGTCGGGCGTTGCGTGAACCGAGGCGCCGGTGTCGGGAAACCAGCCGGCGGATCCACCCGAGACACCATCGTCGCCGGTCACCGCGACGTGGGCCTGTGGCTGTGACTGACCGGAATACCGCTGGTAGCATGTCACAGCCGTATGCCCCTGATTCCGGCAGATTTGGCAGCGTGGGGGATTATTCCGGCCGCATCCACGATTGCCGCCTCGTCCACGGTTACCATTGCCCCAGCCCTGGCCATTGCCGGAGCCTCGTCCACCGTTATTGCGCCTGCCCCGCCCCGCATAGTTCACCACTGGAGCAGCACCGAAGCCGGCGTCAGACCCCGCCGGAAAATCTTCGGAGTGAATGAACTCCTGGGCTTGCAGGTGATCGGATATCTGGGAGATAGTCACTGGAGTCCCGGCCGCTGCAAGCGATGACGCCATCGCCCTGTACTCCGGGAGCAGACCCCTAAAATCGAACAAGTTTTGTTCGTCCAACGAAATAGGTCTGCCGGCCAACGTGATATTCTCGACCAACAATTGAGCGCGGCCTAGGTACTCGGTGACGGAGCTGTTCCCTTGACGAAGAGAGTGGAACTGGCCGAGAAGACTCAGGCACCGAGCGCGGGTGGAGCTGCTCAGAGCCGTGGTGATCGACTCCCACACCTCTCGGGAAGTGCCATGGCCGACCGCTAAATGCATTACCTCGTCCGATAGCGAGGAGATGAGTAATGACATTATGGATTGATCTTGTTTTACCCATGCTTTGTACGCAGGGTTCGGGATCAATGATGGAGTGGTGGTGACGGACGCTGACTCGCCGGAGACTGGAGCCGCATCGATGACCGGTGGAGGACACGGGATCTCGCCATCCACGTACCCTAAGAGGTCCTGACCGCGGAGGAAGGGCAGCAATTGCGTCCTCCAAAACAGGAAATTGCGCATCGTCAACTTCAGGGAGACGAAGTGGTGCGCACCCAACATGGGGTTGGCGGTGGCGGCCGGCACGGCGGAGGGAGCGGCGGTGACCGTCCTCTCTGAGGAATTTGTGGACATATTTCGGTGAGGGATGGAGGGGGTACGGTGGTGGTGGAAATTGATAATTGGAGAGAGAACGGATCCTGGTCTACTGATACCAGATGAGAAAGTGATCGTTCATTCTAACTGAAAGAGGTTACAACTGAAACACTTAAAGTAGAGAGATAGTCGTAAACTACTCCTACACAATAGGCTAGTCAACTATAATTAACTTATTGACTAATTCTAATACAAAACTAATAACAACAAAAGATAATAATAATAACATGGCTTAACAGCTCTAACCTTCTCCTTATTTGATTTTTATGGTGGTGTGGGTGTTAAGTGTTTAACTCTTTACATGTGATTTTTTTTTTGTTTGCTTCAATGTTGAATTTTTAAGTGGTTCAGCTTAGCTCTGCTAACAGATGAGTGAATTATTTCATCTATCATGATAAGGTCATAATCTTCTAATTGCTGCATCTTATTAGTTTGTTAAAAAAATTAATAATAATTCTCTGGAAATAGTCTATTATTTTTGGGAAGATGACTTCTAGATCTGGGACATCAAAGGTAAGGAACTTCAAAATCTTGCACCAACTATTGATAAAAGAGTCTTATGCCTTTTTGTTTTCCTGATTAAAGTGTTCTAATTAATTTTAAACCTTTATTTTTTACTTTTTGTTTCTGATTCAACATAGATAAGTGGATTGAGAAAAGTTTACCATCCTTCCAAGCAGCCTAAGCTACCTGCAGATTGCTGAAGTGGCGGGGCTGCGTACTGTGGAGGGAGGAGGGTAACCTTGGGGCGGGTAAACGGTTGAAGATAAGCATCCTTGGGATATCCTTCCGGTGAATAATCTATTCCAGAAACTCAAAAGTCCATTAGATTCGTTCCCAAAAATTGGCAAAAGATGATTCAATCAAAGAAGATAACTGAAAAAAGCTTACCTTGAGGATGCGGCACATCGACGGGAGGCTGAAACTTGTAGTTCAGCACACATCTCAAAATTGCGCACCAACAATCCCGGGGACATCTTCTTCGTTGATCCCATAAATATGAATTTTTTTTTTTTTTACAGCTTGTATTTAAGTTGAATTTGAAGTCTTTTAACATGTATCTTCTATATATAAGCGTGCAAGTGAGGTAGTGAATTGAATAGGCTACTCTACAAATAGGAGTGGATACAAAGTACCAACTCTGCAAAGACGCAATAGGCCACTCCCCTACAAATATAGCCTGACACCTACTCTCTGATTGGTCAAACACTTTACAAAAAAAAAAAAAAAAAAAAAAAAAAATCTAAACGCTGCGTTTTTCTTGGGCGGGAAAATGCTGAAATCTAATTGGCTGAATCCCTATGGCTTTTATATGTATATAGATATAGATATAGATTATTATAAAAAAATGGTTTCATATAGATTTTAATTAGTATGGATTTGTTAATTATTTTAAAAGATATAAATATTGGACATATATTTTTACACGTTGGGCATAGAAAATACTAGTTTAAAATATAAAAGCTAAAAATTGACATTTGGCTTCCACACGACGTGATTGTTTCTTCTTCAACTCCATTGCTATAATTGTGATTACCTGCTTTTCTGATTCCATTGTCGCAACCATGAGTCTTCGTAAGGTCATAATCTCATCATCCTACGTTTGGTGTGATTACTATCTAGAAGTCTAGAACCACTACCATATATACAAGTTCTATCAACATGTAGCTGTAATTCTATATTCCCAGAAAAAATCAAAAAAAAATGTGGTTCTCTCCCATAAAAGGTAGATAAACACGGATTTGGTGCCATAAAAGTACAGCTGTCAAAGCGGGCTGGCGGGGCGGGGCCCGCCAAAGCTTGCCTTTTGGAGGGGCAGGCTAAAAAGCCCGCTAAGAATACGGGCATAGGTAGGGCAGCCCACGCCGCCCCCCATAGGCCCGCGGGCCCCAGCCAAAGCCCGTCTTCTTTTTTTTTTTTTTTTTTAAATCATGTGTGATGTGTCTCTAAAATCTAAACTCTAATGTGACTATGTTAATAACTTAATTGCTATCTACTTAAAACACTTATTCATAAGAAAATAACATGAATTCGTTCATCACAACATGACAACAATGACACCAACAGGGGTAAGTATAATTACCGAAAAACCGATAACCGATAATTTCGATTAACGGTTATAAGGCAAAATAACCGAATAGTCGAATAATCAATTTTTTTTGCCTTATAACCGTTAATCGAAATTATCGGTTATCGGTTTTTCGGTAATTATACTTACCCCTGTTGGTGTCATTGTTGTCATGTTGTGATGAACGAATTCATGTTATTTTCTTATGAATAAGTGTTTTAAGTAGATATCAATTAAGTTATTAACATAGTCACATTAGAGTTTAGATTTTAGAGACACATCACACATGATTTAAAAAAAAAAAAAAAAAAGGCGGGCTTTGGCTGGGGCCCGCGGGCCTATGGGGGGCGGCGTGGGCTGCCCTACCTATGCCCGTATTCTTAGCGGGCTTTTTAGCCTGCCCCTCCAAAAGGCAGGCTTTGGCGGGCCCCGCCCCGCCAGCCCGCTTTGACAGCTCTACTTTTATGGCACCATTTTTGGTGTGGATATATAGTTCATTAATTTTGGATATATAGTTCATTAATTCTGGATATATAGCACAACATGACGTTGTTAACGGCAATCAAAAATGATTTTTTTTTTTTAAAAGTCGAACGTGTCATTTTTAATCAAAACGACGCCATTTTGCAACCGTGTGCACCATGCGTGGTGCACACGGTTGCACGACATAATTTGCGTATATATAGGGACCAGATTAGGCGCGAAAATAACTTTCCATGCGGAAGTGCGGTTAACACAAAAGAACGCACCTTAAGTGTAGAATTGACGTCGTACCTAACCTTAAACATTAAATGACGTACCTTAAGTACGCAAATCACGCACCTTAAGCACACAAACAAAGCACCTTAAAAACACTTATTATGTTTTTAGATTATATTACTTAACAAATATTGTGCAATCTAAATATCTAATAAGTCATTAAAATTATTGTGATAGACAATGCACTTGCAAACTGTAAATGGGATAAGGTTAGATTATATTTTTTCTTTAAATTAATCTTTGGATTTTAGGCCGGCTTTCGATTTTCTCTTGAAAAACCGATAACCGACCGAAAAAGCGAAATAATCGATTTTTTTAATCTTAATAACCGAAACTGAACCAAAAATTGAAATATTCAGGCGGTTCAATTTTCGGTTGTCGGTTTTTTGTCGGTACGAATTTTTTGCTCACCCCTAGTCTTAACTAAAAACACTACTACCCTTTCTCTAACCCTCGGTCGGCCGCCCCATTTGCAGAGTGCTATAGTGCTGCACCTCAATAACAAATTAACAATCTAAGAATTTCAAATTCACACTCACTGCCACAGTGATGCACCTCACGCGGCTTTAGATGGAACAAATTGAAGCCTTCACAATCCAAAATTCCAAATACAGTAGATTTCAGTCGAATAATCAAGAATCAGAGCTTTCACGGAGTAGAATCAATGAGTAAACTTAATGAAGAAGACATACCTAGATTCGCATTCGCAGGGGGGGCTGGATGTGGCATCAGCTGTCGTCTTCTTCGCAGATTCGCAGGGGAGGGCGACATCGTCGACCTTGGGCTTGGCTTCGTCGTCGAGCGTCGAATTTGGTTGAGTTTGGAGGAGCGACAAATCACAGGTACATCGAATATAATAGGGAAATTAATTAGGGATTTAAGAATTTAGATGTTAAGCAATATAGATTTGAATTCTGAATTTTAATTTCTAATTGTTAAAGGGTTAGTTCTATCGCTTTATTAAACAATGCCACCATCAATAAAGATGATTTCCTTGGTTTGTATCCCAGAAAAGAAATCTCCCTATTTTAAATTCCGTGCAAATAATTCCTTCCGACGAGTAAATGATTCTAAAATTAGTATAGCATGAACGGAAAGTTGAAAATATAATGTAACAAAAAAAAAGAAAAAAACTCTAAAGAAAGTATTCCACAAACTACCGGTATACAGGAACCCGACCCAAACCCGTATATGGAAAAGGAATCATCGGTTTCCCCCACCCTTTTCTCACTCTATAAAATGCCGTTGTCTGCTCCGAGTATTGTGACAGAGCCACTGGGTAACTCACTCCGCCACGCCTCTGCTCTCTGACATCACTCCCTCACAGGGTTTAAGGCGAAAAGCAACCCTAATACGGATCGATCATACCGCACACTTTACGTTATACCTACACGCACTCGGCGCTTGCCACTTGGATGTGAGGTCCTCATCCACAGCCCCACTGCGAAGTAAGCTTTCTCACCGTTTACAACCCCCTCCGATTATCGCACATTGTGAAGAAATGGTTTTTAGCGTTAAGGGTTTTCTTTTGCATCGGAGTATTTGATTAGGGCTTTAATTGCTTTCACTCTGGCGTGTTTTCTGCCAATTTTTCCTCTTAATCAGTAATGCAATCCACTTGTTGCTGCTCGATTGTATCCTGTTTGTGTTTCTATATGCTCGCATATTTGTATATATGATACGTACAAGAGAATACTTAGATTGGGTTATGGGTTTAGGTATCTTTATGGACATAGATTTGGGTATTTCTCCATTCTGAAGACATTTTAGGTATTTGATGGACAATTATTGAGAAAAAAAGGGAATGGTAGTATATACATTATGTGCTTTAGTTGTCTGGGTTAAGAAGTCAAAATCCATAAAAGACTGCCTCATCATATCTAATTATGTCTTGCATAGTAAATTTAAATCACAATACTTAACTGTTTTTTCCCCATTCTTGTGTCCTTTGACCCTTCCATTGTGTGTTAGGCTGTCAATGTTATGTATGGCTCCCTTTTTCATCTTTACCACTGTGATATTATCAATACGAAGTTGTAAACTGGGGTTTGATCATAACATGCATTTTTTGTGAGTTAAATGTTATCTATAATTTTGCTATGAGATTATCCACTTGTGTCTTCATTGCCTATTTGTTATTTGGTGTTTGATCATACCCTTGGTATTTAACTTTCTTCTCTTTGTCTACAGCCAACAAGCTGTTATCACCTTTTGGTGAATCTCAGGAAAAGTACATCTATAGAGGTTTGCAACAATGGCAAATATGGCCATAACTACGATACTTGAGAAGGTAGATATCCAACTTTCTGGGTTGCCATTTCTAATTTCTATTAAGGTCCTCTTGTTATCCATATGCTTGTACTGTCTTCATTATTGCTTTTGTAATGCCCTAATTTGAGCTCATTTGCAGATGACTGGGAAGGATAAGGATTACAGATACATGGCAACTTCTGATTTGCTAAATGAACTGAACAAAGAGGGATTTAAACTTGATGCTGAACTTGAAGCAAAGCTGTCAAATGTTGTTTTGCAGCAGCTAGATGATGCAGCTGGTGATGTTTCTGGATTGGCTGTAAAATGGTCTGCCCTACTTTTTTACTTTTAACTTGTTTTAACAATATTGTTTTTGATGCACATGTATGCAGGTGTATTCTGGCCTTTAAATTTTTTTTCCCCCCAACCTTACACCCTTATTATCCAAAAGAAAACGAAGCACTACCTAATCATTTTCTTGTTTGCGATGTCCTAAAATGCATAGCCTCTTTTCCTAGATGCTAAGTTGTGATTCTAATTGTCAAATTATTTGGAAGATACTTTACCTTTGATTTTTTCCCATTACAGAAGTTTTACATTTTATTATTCTTTTTGATTTAAAGATTTCAATATTACCTAATACCAACTCAAATATGGGACAAAACTTTCTCTATATATCTTAATAGCTAGTTGAAGTGGCTTATTCATTTAGATAGGATCCTGTTTGAAATCTTTTCTGGAGGAATACGAACATGAATTAAAAAAGAAGAAACAAATGGGTGGACAATGTTGGTAATATGTTCTCTTTTTTCAATATTGAGTTGTATACTATTTCTTTTACACATTTTCATTTGTTAGCATAGCATTTATAGTGAACCAGCTGCATGTATTTGGATACGTAAATACTATATTTGCAAAAGGAATTGTCAGTCCGAGGGGACCTTCTCTGAGTTGATTCCCGGCATTAACCATATTCTTGTCAAGGACATGTAGTCATGTCATGTTATTTGAGCTACCTTATATGTAACTGTATGGGCAAGTAATCTGCATTGTATTTGCCTCTCTCTTTGACTATCCTATAGGGCACAGGTGTAAATGATATGCTGTCTTCGTATTGAAGTTCAGTTTGGCTCTATAAAACTAATCCATAAAACAATTTTCACTGGATTGTGTTTGTTACTTGATTGATCAGCCTTGCACCTCTTGTGAAGAAAGTTCGCGAGCAACAAGTCTTGGACATGACAGACAGGCTTTGTGATAAACTGCTCAATGGGAAAGAACAACACAGAGACATTGCAAGCATAGCATTGAAGACAATTGTTTCTGAAGTTCCTTCATCTGTTGCTCAATCTATTCTTGTCTCCATCTCCCCTAAGTTGATAAAGGGAATAACTGCTCCTGTAAGTTCTTGAAAATCATCTTAATTGGTATTCCAAATATATAGGGTCTTCTTGCATGAGCAAATATAGGAAGACTCGTGTTCAAATTTACAACCAAATGGTTAAACAATAATGTTTGCATTGGTTCATGACTAGTTTTATGTGGTTTTACTCTGTTATTGTGTTTCTTTTCTTTCATTTTGTGCTGTACTGTTGTGACAAAATTGCTATCCCACGTGTCTTTTGTAAATTTGTTGTTGGTTTATACTTTGTTGAGGGAGTTGATAACTACTCTCAAATAGATAAACATTTCTTTGTTTACTATATGTATTGAATTTGTGGTGCTTCTGTTTCCACTTTCCAGAAAGTAGACTTTTCACTTAATCAGCATTCGAACTTACCTGTGGTGTCTTCTTGAATTTCTTTTTTCAGGGGATGAACACAGAAATAAAATGTGAATGTCTTGACATATTGTGTGATGTTCTTCACAAGTATGGAACTCTGATTACATCCGATCATGAGGTATTGCTGGGTGCATTATTACCTCAGCTAAGTTCCAATCAAGCTAGTGTTAGAAAGAAAACTGTTTCATGTCTAGGTAAGTTTATGCTGGATGAGATTTTTTTTTGAGACTTGGTTCATATGTTGATTAGATTTTAACTCTTAAAGCATTTATTTCATCTGTTTGCTCTTTTCTTTCCATCAGCATCTTTGGCATCAAGCTTATCAGATGATTTGCTGGCAAAGGTTACTGTTGAAGTTGTAAAGCTTTTGAGAAACAAGAGCTCAAAGCCTGAGATGACACGAACTAACATTCAGATGATTGGGGCACTAAGGTAGCCATATACCACATTCTGTATTCATACAATAATTTGGTTGTTTTTGCACTGCATGTGATTTGTTTTGATTTATGTTTATGATATCTAATGCACAAGTACATTTAAATTGGATGAAGGGAAGCTCTAACCTCTAAGTCGCATATATGACTAGGACTGGAGATTCTTGTTATTCAGTTCCTGTGAAAGTTACTTGCTTGATCATGTATAATATGCTCATAAATTGAGGCTTTAGGTACTGTTTGGTACTAAGAATTTATAATCCTTTACAATAGTGGCAGATCCAGAATTTTTAATGAGTGGGGGGAAAACTTTTTGATAAAATTTAAATTTGAAGTTGAGTGGTGGGTGTTATCATAAACTGTGGGTACATAATAGAATTTGTTATAATTATGATATATACATAGTATAGTATGAATTTTCATAGCTTGGTGGGGAAAGGTGCCCCCATAAGAATATGTAGCTCTGCCCCTACTTGCTTGAGATGGATCTTTTGACACTACTAGATGAATTTTTTAAAATATATATTGTTGGTATTGTCTTTTTATTTTGCATGGTGCCTCCATACTAAACCTTGGATTTGTGATTTATAAGCCGTGCTGTTGGCTATCGTTTTGGTCCCCACTTGGCTGATACAGTTCCAATACTAATCAACTACTGTACTACTGCATCTGAGAATGATGAGGAACTTCGGGAGTATAGCTTACAGGTTCTTATTTTTGAATTTGTGTCCATAATTTGTTATCGGTTTCATCAAGCATTCTTCTTTATAAGTGATTATAGACCTGGATTTGAAATGTCTTTTTTTTTTTTTTTTTTTTTTTTTTTGTGCAGGCACTTGAGAGTTTCTTGCTAAGGTGCCACAGGGATATCTCTCCCTATTGTGATCAGATTTTGCATCTTACTCTGGAATTTCTCAGTTATGATCCCAATTTCACTGATAATATGGAAGAAGATACTGATAATGAAATTCAGGAGGAAGAGGAGGATGAGTAAGACATTTCTTATTAATTGGAGCTTGCTAAGCCCTGATATTGTTAGTTAGTCTTGATAGTTTATGCTGAATGTATGATCCTTCATTGAATTGTAGTGAGAGTGCTGATGAATACACAGACGATGAAGATGTCAGCTGGAAGGTTAGAAGAGCTGCTGCTAAATGCTTGGCAGCACTAATTGTTTCTCGTCCTGAAATGATTTCCAAGCTATATGAGGAGGTACATTCTGAACTGTTTCTTTAGCTTTTGTTTGTCTTCTTGAAAGAAGGTAATTTTGTTAACTGTAAGTAAACATATCTAACTGCCTAACTTTATTTTTGTTTAGGCTTGCCCAAAGTTAATTGACAGGTTTAAAGAAAGGGAAGAAAATGTCAAGGTGAAATTGAGCATTTGACTGATTTCTTTGATGGTTTATTCTCGGCTTTCTGAGTAGTTATTCTGCAGATGGACATGTTCAATACATTCATTGAGTTGCTGCGGCAAACGGGAAATGTAACAAAGGGACAGACAGACTTCAACCAATCCAGGCAAGATTATCTCCACCTCTGGCCTCAATGAATAAAAATCCTTAGACTTGAGTTCTAATCTTCTTTTCATTGTAATTATATATCAATGTTTCTACCTGCATATGTACTATAAGCTGACAATCTCTAGTGGCTCCAACTCATAAAACTGCTGACATTTACACTAGCAGTCTTTTACATTTTTTAGGTAACAGTCTTTCTTGAATGCATAGTTTTCTCAGTACATATAAAACTGCTGACATTTACACTAACAGTCCTTTTCATTTTTTAGGGAAAAGGCTTTCCTGAATGCATAGTTTTCTCAGTACAACTTCCAGTAATGATGACACTGGTTAAATGAATAATCATTGAATAATTTCTCTTCGGCTTGTCATGCAGTCCCAGATGGTTGCTGAACCAAGAGGTTCCCAAAATTGTTAGATCTGTAAATAAGCAGCTTCGGGAGAAATCTGTGAAAACAAAGGTGTGTGTTCTTACTAATTTATACTCCATATTGTTTTTTCTTTGCTACTGGCCTTCATCAATTGCTTATTCCATTCTTCCTGCAGGTCGGTGCATTTTCAGTTTTGAAAGAACTGGTGATTGTGCTGCCTGATTGCCTTGCAGAGCATATTGGATCACTCATACCTGGGATTGAAAAGGCATTATGTGTAAGTTGTCTGCTTGAGGGGTTTGTACCTAGTCTTCTGCTCTCCCTTCTTATTTATTTGTTTATTTTTATTTTAACTATTTTCATTTTTTCATTACTGTATCAGGACAAGTCATCTACCTCAAACTTAAAGACTGAAGCTCTTATATTCACAAGATTAGTATTGGCTTCACATAGCCCTCCTGTTTTCCATCCACACATTAAGGTAATGACTTGGTATTGCTTCTAGACTTCATATGTGCTTTGAGGAAACTGAATTTGCATTTGTGAAATTCTCTGCATCAATATGATCTCATCTATGCGTATAAAGTTTTAGAACATAGCCTAAGTTATGAGACCCTTAATATTTATCTTTATGAAGTGTGATTTAAATATACTTATGGTTAATACTCATTATATAGAGTTAAGAGAAAGTATCTTGAATGGTGAAAGCTTGAGAAAAAATGTTTAATGACTATTGTTTACAATAAAAAGTTGATTATTTGTGTTACAACTTATACAAAGGTTATCATAATTGATTCCTGGTTATAAATACTTATCAAGGATGAATTAGCGAACAAGGTATATTCTCTTTAAACTTCCCTGGGTAACATAGTAACATTGGAAGTGTCTTCAACTGATGATTTCTTTGTGAGATCTTAGATCCAAGTCAATAGGATTCAAGTGGTCTACAAAAACCGAAGTCTTGAAGGTCTAAATTGAAAATTCAACATTTTCTATGCAGATATTTTGTTTATTGAAATTTACGCTTCTTTCCGTGTCTGTCTTGCTTTCTTTTAATGTGAACCTAATACTTATATAATGTAGTGTTACTGGCTGATATCTGCAATGCTTGTATTCTTCCATTCTGTAGCTTGTAAAATGTGACTTCTGAGTAATTCGCATTAGCACTTCTCCATTTGTTAAAAAAACATGAATGAGCAAGGCTATAATTTCTGAGTAGTGTTATTCCTTAATGTTTACCAGGCCATATCTAGCCCTGTCATATCTGCTATTGGTGAGCGATATTACAAAGTTACAGCAGAAGCATTGAGAGTGTGTGGTGAACTTGTTCGTGTTTTGCGGCCTGATATTCAGGTTAGGTTTCTTATATTTTCATTTGACAAAGGTTTTTAAAACTTTTCTTTCTGAACCACTAAAAGAAATTTGTTCTTTTTTAGGGTTATGGTTTTGACTTCAAACCTTATGTTCATCCCATATACAATGCCATTATGGCCCGTTTTACTAACCAAGATCAGGATCAGGTTAGTTAAATTCTCTCGAACATGGAAATTTCCTATACAAAATAGTACACTGACATAGTGTGTTCCTCTCCCAGGAGGTTAAGGAGTGTGCCATTACTTGCATGGGGCTTGTTGTTTCAACATTTGGTGACCATTTGCAAACCGAATTACCCGCATGCCTTCCTGTGCTCGTTGACCGAATGGGAAATGAAATAACTCGGCTAACTGCAGTGAAGGTTGATCTTAACTCTTGTATTTGTTTGCCTCATTCTAGTTGTGAATGGTTGATCAGTACTCTCAATCTAACTTTTTGAGCATTTGAGCTTCTTTATAGCTCTTTAAGGATGTGCTGCATAATCTTTGGTGGGTACTAATAATTGTGTTTTTATCTTTGGCATTGACTGCATATTGCTAGTGTTTTTTTGTTTGTTTGTTTGTTTGTTTTTTTTTTTTTTTTTTTTTTTTTTTTTTTTTTTTTTATAACTTCAAATACTATTTCTGTGTCACTGGTATTGTTGAGAAGACATTTGCTATGCCTGAAATGCTTTTTCACCCTTTTTTCCTGTCAAAGATCCACTCAAGTCAATTTGTTCCAACAATGTACTACTTGTTGACAGGCTTTTGCGGTCATAGCTGCTTCTCCATTGCATCTAGACCTGTCATGTGTTATAGAGCAAGTAATTGCAGAGTTAACTGCGTTCTTACGGAAGGTGAAAACAGCTTTTGTTTAAATATCAATCAGTCAATACCCGAAGCTGATTTCATGACCATGTACTTCTGACTTATGAAATTATCTAAATTACATTAAAAATTTTGAGAACAGGCAAACCGAGCACTTAGACAGGCAACTCTTGGGACACTGAACACTCTCATTGTCGCATATGGTGATAAAATTGGTTCAGCTGCTTATGAGATTATTATTGTGGAACTTTCATCATTGATAAGGTTGCAATTTGCTCTTCATTCACTCTGGTTTTTAATTGTCTAACCTAAAAGTTTCATTACCAAATTGAATGATCCTACTTGAACTTCAGTGACTCAGACTTGCATATGACTGCTCTAGCACTGGAGCTCTGCTGCACCTTAATGGCTGACAGGAGGTCAAGCCCTAGTGTTGGTTTGACTGTGAGAAACAAAGTCCTTCCTCAGGCACTGGTTCTAGTGAAAAGTTCACTGCTTCAGGGCCAAGCACTCTTGGTAAGCCTTTCTGATGATGAATATTTTGCTTTGTAACTACTGCTTTTGTTTGGTAGAGATTTGGGTTTCACCAATTCTGTTTAATTGTTGCTGCAGGCTCTACAAAACTTCTTTGCTGCTTTGGTTTACTCAGCAAATACAAGCTTCGATGAGCTACTAGATTCTCTCTTATCAACTGCCAGACCTTCTACCCAGTCTGGTGGTGTTGCAAAACAAGCCTTATTTTCTATTGCTCAGTGTGTAGCTGTTCTTTGCCTTGCTGCAGGGGATCAACAATGTTCGACAACTGTAAACATGCTTACAGAGATCCTGAAAGTAGATAGCAGTACTAATTCGGTAAGCGCTATATGTTTCTGCATTTTCTAGGAATTTCTGTAATATTTGTAGATGGAATCACAATATCAATATCTGTGAATGACAATCTGTCTGTCAGAAGGTACATAAAAAGTATCTTAGCAGTGTCTGCATTCAAGCTTGCCTACAGTGTAAATAAGTTGATATCCTTTCAACCATATAAATGCAAGTGGGGAAAAGATGTGATTTTGTAAAAATCTATCATGGACTTGTAAATATACAATAACAAACAAGTGCCTTCCTTTTGTGTCATCTGTAGAATATTTTTGTTTGAGCTATACTGATTATATGTTTTTAGGTATTCAATAGATTTTTTTTTTGGTAAAAAAAATTAAATATCATTACTGGCACTTTTACTTTATCACATCCATTAAAGTGCTGTTTAATCCCTTCTAGATTTTATTTTTATTTTCAGGCCAAGCAACACCTTGCCTTGCTATGTTTAGGAGAGATTGGGAGAAGGAAAGATCTAAGCTCACATTCTCATATAGAGAATATTGTGATCGAGTCCTTCCAATCTCCATTTGAAGAGATAAAATCAGCTGCTTCTTATGCTCTTGGTAATATTGCTGTTGGTAACTTACCAAAATATTTACCATTTATCCTTGACAAAATTGATAATCAGCAAAAGAAACAGTACCTACTTCTCCATTCATTGAAGGAGGTATGTTCAGTGCACTAGAATATTCTTTCCTATAAGAAGTTTCCACTCTATTAAGTATATAGGATTATGGGATGATCTCTAATCTTTATTTTGAGACATGCTTAAACAGGTAATAGTAAGACAATCTGTGGACAAAGCTGAGTTCCAGGATTCTAGTGTTGACAAGATACTTCATCTGCTATTCAACCACTGTGAAAGTGAGGAAGAGGGTGTTCGCAATGTGGTGGCTGAGTGTCTCGGCAAAATTGCCCTCATTGAACCTGGAAAGCTTGTCCCGGCACTGAAGGTATAGAAAAATAAAGTTGTTCAGCTTTTATATTTAGCGAGCAGTATTTCTTGTAGTTTACATTCTCGTGGAAGCAAAGTCTTAACATCTAATATTGACTTTATGTAGGAAAGAACTACCAATCCAGCTGCTTTCACCCGAGCAACAGTAGTAATTGCCATAAAATATTCTTTAGTTGAGAGGCCTGAGAAGATAGATGCAATTTTGCCAAATGAAATCTCATCCTTCCTCATGCTCATCAAGGATGATGACCGGGTAACTTGATAGTGCTGTTTGATCAATTTTTAGTATAACTGAACACTGTTATTGACTTGATCTATTAGTCCCTTGTAGCAGGTGGTTCTTATTAATTATATATAAAAACACATGGGCTTTTACATTTCTCATGTTTGTATATTTTTTGTTTTTTGTTATTGTAGCTGTTTATCTCATTCTTATTCTTTGACTTTGCAGCATGTTAGGCGTGCTGCTGTTTTAGCCTTGAGTACTGCAGCTCATAATAAGCCTAACCTAATAAAGGGTCTCCTGCCAGAATTATTGCCACTTCTCTATGATCAGACTACAATTAAGGTAATTAAATACCTAATGTAAGCTACATTACTTGCATTTCATGCTGGGTTAGGATGTCTAACCTGTTGACACAATTATGATGGATGATTCTATTAGTACTCATGAAAACTGCATTTTTAGATATGCATTTCCCAGTACCCAAGAATATCAATGTCGTACTGCTTTGGAAATTCCTTAAATTTTTTGATTTGTTATTCATGGGTTTCCTGTTCCTCTGTGCAGAAAGAATTGATCAGAACAGTTGACTTAGGTCCTTTCAAGCATACAGTGGATGATGGGCTTGAATTGCGGAAGGCTGCTTTTGAGTGCATGGACACATTGTTGGACTCTTGTCTTGACCAAGTGAATCCTTCATCTTTTATTGTTCCATATCTTAAATCTGGTCTTGATGGTGAGTTTTTTACTCAAGATGCATCTGCCTTTTTCTTTCCTTCAAAATCGACATTAAGCCTATTTAATTCTTAATATTTTGTGCTGCTAATTATTGATAGTGATGCCCTGATAGAGTGAGTCTTCAAGTTATCCATGGTACACAAAATTTAGGCAGTTGTAACATTATTTCTTTACCTTGTTTCCAGATCATTATGATGTTAAAATGCCATGCCACCTCATCCTATCAAAACTTGCAGAGAAGTGCCCGTCTGCTGTCTTAGCAGGTAATTTTTCTTCTTTTACTGGTTTAATAGTGGGGGCTTCTAAAGAAAAATTGCAATATATATATATATATCTTTCAGTAATTTTTTTGTGAAAATGCCATTACAATTGAAATTTTATTTCTTTGCAGTGTTAGATTCTTTGGTGGATCCTCTCCAGAAAACTATAAATTTTAGACCCAAACAAGATGCTGTCAAGCAAGAGGTAGACCGCAATGAAGACATGATTCGGAGTGCCCTCCGAGCGATTGCATCCTTGAATCGTATCAGGTAAGCATAGTTTGAATATGTGATACAAAATATGGTAACTTGAATGTGCAGAATTTTGCTTTGGTTGGAAACCCTAGTTCAGGTGACAAATATGATCTAGCCTAGAAACTTGTTTAGTTAAATTTTCACTCCTAAGATAGAAGAAAGAAGTGTGTGATGTTAAGTGGAGGACAGTGACTTGATTTTTGATAATTGTTGTATGATTTGCAGCGGAGGGGATTACAGCCACAAGTTCAAGAACCTCATGAATGAAATTGCAAAGTCCCAAACACTATGGGATAAGTACTGTTCAATCAAGAATGAGTGATTTTAAAGCCTTTTTTTTGGTGTTGCGGAGGAATGCAGGGAGGGATTAAATGTGCTTTGGTTGTGAATCATATCATATGGAAGAAGGCAATTATAGGTTGACAGCAGAGGAGGGCTTGTGTTGTGTTGCACATAAAACCGACAAGGGAGTTTAAATCTTAGGACTCGGGGAGTTGAGACATTGGAATATAGTTTATTTTGTAGGTGATTGTACCTATGATTGTCGTACTTACGGGGTTGCATTTCTTCTAGCGGTATGGATTTTGTAATTGGCAGCAAGCATCCGTGTTTGTTCATCAATGGTGCTTAATTATGTTAAGTGGATGATGTTTGATTTTTCTGTCAAACTTTCAAAATTTGTCAAATTAATGTGTTGATGCTTTCAGTTTCAGACTTTTCAAATTGAAAATCAAGCTATACAGATTAGACTTCACAGATGGTGAGAGTTTCAATTATTATTACAGTATTTTTTTTGGGTTTCACGACTATTATTACAATACTAGTTTTTCTACACACTTTGCATGAATGGAATAATGCCTAATGGTTATTTTTAAATAAGTATTTCAAAATATATCAATACAATATTATATAGAAGATGTTCATGCATAGGTAAATAAATATTGAATTTAATTTGTTTATTTAAATTGGTGATTTAAAATATATAAATGCAAGATAGTATATGAAAGATTGATTATATATAACTATCACAAAAATAAATGTTTGTAACTTTATAATAATGGTAATAGAAAAGCGATAGTCTAAATAAAAAATTTCTCTAATTCTCTTTTGGGTATAATTGTTATTGTCCTCATCTTCCGCTTTTTTTTTTTTTAGTTATTGGTAGTGTGTTATGTGCAATTAAGTTACTGGTGATAGCATAAAAGGATTCATTATTCAATGAGATTATGGTGTAGGAAGCTTTAAATTTGCTTTGTTGTGTAGAAAGTTTTAGATTTGCTTTATGTGTGTAAGTTATCATGTGAAAGTATTGAACAAAATATTAATATTATTTATTATATTTGTATAAAATACTTGGTAATATATATATATATATATATATATAAATATATAAAACATATTTTGTATTATAACTTTGATATTTAATTACAAGATAATGTAAAAAGACAATAGACAATATAGTGACTATAATAAATTAATAAATTTGAAGGTAAAGAATCTTTGAATAGTTGAAAATAAAGATAATACAACTAATGAAATTATATCTCTTTTTTTTTTTTTTTTTTTTTTTACAATGAATAATTTTAAATTAATTAAATGCGTATGTATTATTTTTTGTTGTAGCTACTAATTTATTTTTTATTTTTACTTTTGATTAGACATCGGACGATGATAATAAATAATTCAAAATATAAGGTTATAGTAGATATTGTTATAATAATATAGTAAAAATTAACTTACAAATTTTTTCGAAATTTTCATGCATAGATAAAAGTATAATTGAAATATTAAGTTCTATTCTCAATAATCAAAAGAAGATTAATTAATCAAAGGACCTTGTAGTACACTGGTATTCGGTTGCTCCTTTATGTGGGAGGTGATTGGTTTGAACCTCGCTTGAGGCAAGTAGTGTCTACATTTAGAGCATCTTTAACCATTGGGGATATTAGGGGGAGAATGTAAAGGTTTTTCCAGATACCAAAAGTGGTCGGAACAAGACTTTTGACTTCACAAGAATTTATTTATTTATTACTGTTCACTCGTATGTTTACAATAAGAGAACATCTTTTGAGTGTGTTTTTGATTTCTTATTGAATGAAGAACTTTTCTCAACTTTGAAAATTGCAAAATAGCATAGTAAATGCGTTTTCGTGTTTCCAATTTTCAAATTTAAATATTTTTCTTAGAAGTTTCTTGTTAGTAAAAGTCCCTTATTTGTGGGCTCAATCACCCCCTCCTTCCTATAAATAGTTTTTTTTTTTTTTTTTTTTTTTTTGGACATCCATGCATCAACTTCTTAGATAAGCAAGTTCTCTATCCAATTGCAACAATAGGGTGCTTGGGTCTATGTTCTAACTTGTTAAATTTTATACTTATTTCTATAAATTTAAAAAAGACTTTCTTAACCTTTATTCATTTAATTGAACCTATCACCTGAATTGTAGCTAAATTTATGGTGGGTCTAATCCAATCAAACCTTCAAAAAAAAAAAAATAATAATAATAATATTTTAAGAAAAAAAAAAGGACAAAAACCATTTATGCAAGTCTGCAATACATAAATATTACAGTAGTAAAAGAAAAGAATACATGAAGCAAATAGAAAGAAATGACATCTAAAAGTATGTAGGCTCACAAGTCCCCAAAAATATAATACTCATCACTAACACAATATATTAGACAGGCATATATATTCATACACACAATAATAAACCCAAGGAAAATACTTTTCAGACAAACCAAAAAAAAAAAAAAAAATCTATACTCTGGTGTGTTGCCTTGATTCATTATACCCATGATTGTACACATTGCTATACACATTTGGGACTTTGTCATCAACATTTTGTGACTTCTTCTTCCTCTTGATAACCACACACCATGTACAAACTTCCAATGTTGCAGCAACCAGTCCGAGCCCCACAAGAATCCCAACATAACCACTCTCCCATTTCTTTTCTGGACTCAATATCTTCACTCCTTTGAAGATGTTGATTATGCCCAGGATTATGATGGAGTATCCCACTACATGGTGGTACATGTTCCAGTACACCCTATGCTTGTGCTCCTTCTTTGGCCTTACAAGCATAGCACTCACCTGCAACATATATACTTTCATTACTTTACAATCTCTTAGGATCAAATGCTTACTATTACAGCCGGCCAAAAGCTATAGCTAGTAGCAAAGACGCAATTTTATTTCTGGCAATTCCACTCCCAACACCTGCCTAGTGCCTACCACTTGTTAGGATCAAGTGTTTACCCCTACGTCAAAAGTTATAGTTAGTAGCAAAGACAGACACAATTTTATTTCCTTATAAACGTGCCGTCATCACATTTTCGAAAAGCAGGGTATTCAATTGTTATGCTGTGGAACTGGCAAGGTGGACACGGTTCTATGTTCATAATTACTGAATTATATGTTCATAATTATAAAGCTATATATTCATAATTTTTGAACTTCATATTCATAGTTATTGAATTCTATATTCACAATTACAGAACTCTATGTTCATAATTACTGATCTATATGTTCATAATTATAAAGCTATATATTCATAATTTTTGAACTTCATATTCACAATTATTGAATCTCTATATTCATAATTACAGAACTATATGTTCATAATTATGTTCATAACTCTATGTTCATAATTATCGAACTATATATTCATAATTTTTGAAATATATATTCATAATTATGAACCGTTTTGGAACCGTGTCCAAAGTGGACACAGTTCCACTGCATAATTTTGCCCAGGGTATTGGACTTGGTCCTTCACCAGCATCTGTCCAACCATTCCTTAGCCATGGACATGGACTTGATGCTTTACCGACCTCCGTACAATAAAGTTGATAATATTTATTTAATCAAGAAATTAATTACTATAGGATGCAATATAATAAATACCTGGATGGTAGCAAGGCAGAACAGTACAATGCCAATGGTTCTATGAGCAGTGAATTGAACACCTGGGGACTGACTTCCAAGCTGGAGACCGGTGGCCCAACCGGAGACACCCACGATATAACCTAAAATCTGGCAAGTAGCATGCAGATAAAACCAGGCAGGGTCTGCAGACTTGAACACCTTTAGGTACCTTGCAAATAAACCACCTATGGGCATCATAATTCCCCAGCTTGCTGTGTTTAGCAGTCCATGAATCTGCAATTTTCAACTCATCATATATTATAATTATGGATAAAGATATTGCAGCAAATTTTTGGTCAAATACCCAAATTCTCAATCCACACTAGATTTGTTGGGCCGAAGCCGGTAAGGGCCAAATCCAGCACCATGTGGTTAAAGGAATTGTTGGGCAGAGGCCGATAGAAGGTCAAGTCCAACAGAGACTCTTGAAAATGTGTGACGAAATAAAGTTGGGTCTTCCCTATTAGCTATAGCTTTTAAGGGCTTAATTCTAATAAAGTGGTATCAGAGCTATCCAAACCCTCGAAAATGTGTGAGAGTATAAGGAGGGCTAGGGCTTACATTTTTCTTCCTTAATTGTGAACCTCCTGTTCCTGATCCTACTGTTGCTCCCCCAGATTGTCCTGAGAGAAGATTCAGAGTCCCCATAGATTGAACATTAGAACCAGAAGTGTCATGCATTCCTGGATAACCACCCGAAACCGGACCCTCTTGCCAGACCTGATTTAAAGTAGCAGAGCTGCTCAAGTTTTGAAGCTTCAAAGTAGCAAAAATGGTGATTTCCTTATCAGAGTATGTTGCAGATAAATCTGAAACTGGGAAGCTCAAGTCCCCAGCCTGCAGCCCAGTCTGGTAGCTGCCGATAGGCGCCGTGTAAACTTTCATCCTCCCATCTGCAGATTCCTGATAAGCTATGAGAGCCTGTGTTCCCACCATTCCATGAGAAGATGGATTGATCCCCCAAGCAACCCATCTGGAGGGCGAAACCCCGCTGTGTCGATACGCGATTCTTGCAGTCATTGAAGCAGGATCATAAGTCCAGTGAAGGAATGATTTCAAGAATGGAAGATCAGTGCAAGAGGTGAAGGCTTTGTTGCTCGCGAAATTAGTGTAGTTTCTGCATGTTTGAGCTGAGGAGGATAAGACCAGAGAACAATACACAACAAATGAAAACAACATATTCTTTGTGTCCATCTTTCCTTGTATGTCAGAGATAAAACTTGAGATTTCTTTGGAGGAATCTAGTTAGGATTAGGGGGCGGGGTGTAAATATATATAGGGGAGGATTATATTGTGGGGTTGAGGTTGGTTACAATAATTTGTGAGAAAGATTTCAAACTTTGTTTGGGGTGGTTTAGTTTGGCACTTGTCTAAGTGGTCTTGTTTTGTGTTTTGGTTTCTTACCACAACCACCTTCACTTGTTTCAAACCTGCACTTCTCCAACTCCAACTGCAACTTTGCTAATTTTCATTCTTTACTTAACAAATACACATATGGTTACAGTTGTTGACTTTGTTGGAGTTATTTTATTCCAAACCATAAGTATACAATAATATGTAAGAGTTAATACCATATGAGACCCTCTGAATATAGTGGTTTTGTCACGTTTAGTTTTAAACTTTCAAATTGACCATCTATGGTCTTTCGACTTTCAAATTTAACCATTCGTGGTCCAAGTTAACCACCCATAGTTCTTCAAGTTTCGAAATTTAACCAGTCATGGTCCTCTTGAAAGGGCTATTATTGGTTATAATTTAATAGTCGAAGAACCATGAATGGTTAATTTGGACCACGAATGGTTGAATTTGAAAGTCGAAGAACCACATATAGTCAATTTGAAAGTTTAGGACTAAACATGACAAAACCACTATATTCGGAAGACCTCATATGGTATTACCTCAATAATACCTCACTAATTTTCAGTTTTGGCCTTATGACTCTGGCCAATCACAAAATTAGAGACCTTGAGGTTATCATATCAAGTTTAGTAATGCTTGCTAGTTTGCTACATTTTTAACACTTTAAATCTTGTATTACTCGGCATGTCTTGATTTGATTAACTTATATTTGGGTCGGCTAATTTATAAGTAGTTAATTAGTAAGAAAGGATGATGATATATAATAGGTGTTAGAAACAATATTATATATATGTTATACGATTTGGTACAACGGTTTAATAATATGCTGATGAAGTTTATGGTTTCAAATAATTTGGTTGACATGATTTGTATAGGTATTATTAGGTATACAATGGCCTGGCACAAATAAAGGAAAATATTTTGTGCAGAATTTGAGAATGTGGTTTGCTTGGTGGAGTAGCTTTCCTGTTTTGTCTTGTATATTTGTTCCACTTTAAAAGATGTCAAAGGACATGCAAATATAAGGCTAAATTACTTAAAACATTCTTTGACTATAATAATCTTACAATGTTAGTTCTTCATTTCAAATTTTATCCTATTACTGTTTTTTTTTTTAGGAGTAATACCTACCTAATGATTATTTTTAAATAAGTATTTCAAAGTATATTAATGCAATATTATATCGGAGATGTTCATGCGGTAAATAAATATTAAATTTGTTTATTTAAATCAGTAATTTAAAGTATATAAATGCAAGATAATATATGAGAGATTGATTATATTGTCACTAAAATAAATGTTTGCAACTTTGTAATAATGATAGTCTAAAAACGATAGTCTAAATAAATACTATTTTTGGTTTACATTTCTCTAATTTTTTTTGGGTAACATTGTCATTGTCTTCATCTTCAGTACATTTTGTTTTGTTTTGTTTTTTTTTTTTTTAATTTGTAGTGTGTCATGTGCAATTGGGTTACTGGTGGTAGCATATATAGATGAATTTATCGTGCAATAAGATTATGGTGTAGGAAGCTTTAGATTTGCCTTGTTGTGTATATGATGAGATCTTAGTTGTACTATTAACTCTTTATCTTACAAGCACCTATTGATATTTGGTAGTGGTAGTTTTTCCCCTACATGTTTCATGCGTTGTGAGATGCGTGTCGTAGGTTATCATGTGAAAGTATTGAACAAATTAAAATATTAATATTGATTATATTTGTATAAAATACTTGATAAATAAATATATATAACATATTTGTATTATAACTTTGATATTTAATTACAAGATAATGTAAAAAAAAAAAAGACAATGGACAATGTAGTAAATATAATAAATTAATAAATTTGAAGGTAATGAATCTTTGAATTGTAGAAAATAAAGATAATGGCCCTATTTGGTAAATTATTTTTGCCTATAGGCCAATTTTGCCTTATTTGACCGCTATTAATTGTTTGATTTAGTTAAAATATCAATATAAGTGTTTGGTTAATTAACTTTTTGCAGCTCCAAAATGCTAAAATTCAAAAAGCTACTCCAAACAACTTTTTCAATTAGCTTTTTTCAGAAAAGAAATTATACCAAACAGCTATCAGCTAACAGCTAATTTACCAAACACTTTTCTACAACAGCTAATGTTATCAACTAGTTATACCCTCTAATTAACACAATCAGCTAACAGCTAACAACCATTTACCAAACAGGGCTAATATAACTAATGAAATTATATCTCTTTTTAAATCTTTTATAATGAATAATTTTTTTTTAAAAAAATAAATGCATTATAGACATCTAATTCTAAATTAATTAAATACATATGTATTATTTTTTGTTGTAGCTACTAATTTATTTAATTTAATAAGAGTAATAAAATGGCATACATACTTTTCATCAACAATAATGAAATCATTGATTTTTTATTTATTTTTTTTTTAAAATTTACACTCGTTGTTGAGACAAATTGTTTGGAGAGTTTGTCCATGATAATTGTTACAATTTTTGTCAATAGAGTATGATACTAAATAATTCAAAATATATAGTTACAAATTTACAATAGATATTGTTATGATGATATACTAAAAATTAACTTACAAATTTCTTTAGAAATTTTCATGCATTGATAAAATTCTGATGTGTAAACTTATTTAATTGGAGCCACTGGGATGTCAAAATTGTTAATTCTTTGGAAAATGGTCCTACCGTTTTAGAGTCCAGGTGTAATTGTATTTATGATCAACAACTTTGTAGTTATGTCGCACAGGTCTGACAATGATGTAAGAACAATTTTGTCCAATAAAAAATAATAGTATAATATTTGTAATGTAATGTACAATTGTACCACTATAAAAATACATTCAAAAAAATTAATACCATAACGACCTAAATCATACCAATAATGCAAAAGTATAATTGAAATATTAAGTTTTGTTCTCATCTAAATAATCAAAAGAAGATTAATTAAACGAAAAAAAAACTTAACCTAAATTTGTTTTTTTTTTTTTTTTTTTAAATGCATAAAAATCAAATGATTTTTAAAGTTCTTGATTTATAATCTTTGATGCTTAACTTTGAATGTTATGTATTTAGTCGGACTAATTATTTGACCAAAGTTTATGTTAAATTTTATATTATATATTTTTTAAAATACATTTTAACATATTCGTAGTATATGTTTAACATTTATGCCAACTCTAATTGGGATGAAGTTCGAACCTAAGACATTTCTTATAGAAATTAATGAGTAAGTTAAAAATAATAAATAGTTAACGGAATATTCTGTTACTAAAGTTTATACTAACGGAATTTAGGTTATTTAAGGGAAGAAAATAATATAATAGAGGGTAAATAAGGAAAATCATTAAAAAAAAAAACTAAAATCAAAATAATATGAACCATTTATTTTAAGAAACAATACTACCAACATTTTTTGAAATATATTGGATCTGGTGCAGACCACTTACCCTGTGCAAATATGCGGATGCACAATCATGCAAGTATCAATGGACCTTATGGCATTTTGAAATGTATTATGCACTACTTGATTCTGATGAGAACTGTAGGAAACTGTATATTATGAACTGTTTCATACAATGTACATGTAAGGGAAATATATATACAAGAGGAATCACATGGAGACTAGAATATAGAGTCATACTATGACTCAAGTACAAGAATCCTAATACTAGTCCTAATACTCCCCCTCAAGCACATGGTAAACTTGTAATTTGTAGCTTGTCTCCGAGAAAAGAAAATCTAGGACCAAGCAATGCTTTGGTAAATATGTCTGAAAGTTGATCTTTTTGTTGAGATAAAGTTAACTTGAATTTCTTCAGCAGCAACTTTATCGCGCACAAAGTGATAATCTATTTCTACATGTTTGGTGCGAGCATGAAAGATGGGATAGGCACACATATATGTAGCTCCGAGATTATCACACCATAATTTAGGGACTAAAATACCTGGAACATGAATTTCGCGTAGAAGGGTCATGATCCAAATCACCTCAGCATAAACATCCGCTAGAGCTTTATATTCAGCCTCAGTAGAAGATCTAGCAACAGTTCTTTGCTTCTTACAGACCCATGATATGAGATTAGACCCAAGGAAAACAGCAAAGCCACTTGTGGATTTTCTATCCTCTGGACAGCCGCCCAGTCAGAATCAGAGAAGGCATGAATTTCTCTTGAGGATGATTGCCTGACACGTAGACCAAAAGTAACAGTTCCTTTCACATACCTTAAAACTCTCTTCAGTTGTTCCCAGTGAGTAATCGTAGGGGCATGCATATGTTGACACAACTGATTGACTGCAAAGGAGAGGTCAGGACGAGTGATAGTTAAATACTGTAAAGCACCAACTAAACTCCTTTACTGTGTTGGATCATCATGCAGCACTGTACTGGTTGTCACGGGTTTCGACGTGGGAATGGGGGTAGACAATGGTTTGCATTCTTCCATTCCAGCACGTTTTAGAATATCATGCATGTATCTCTGTTGGGAAAGCAAAATTTCATCACTGCATTTGACTGCCTCAATTCGAAGAAAAAATCTTGGCTCACCAAGATCTCTAATTTTAAAAGCAGTAGCGAGTTTCGAAACTAGGTGGGTAACTAGATTCGTATTGTTGTCGATCATAAGTATATGGTGAGCTGTCGTAGGCTCCCAAATTAAAACCTTACAAACGTAGTAGCGGGAGTAAGGATCGATCCCACGAGGAGTAACTAGTTTAAAATATGTGCTCAAATTAAAGGTAGGGGGGTTTGGAATATATCGAGAACAAAGATAAAATAAAAGAGAATTTAAATAAACAAGAAATTTAATTGAACGAATAAAGCAATGAAAATAATATATCGAAAACACTTATAATAG